CTGGGCAGCGCGCGCCCAGGGCGGCCCGGCGGGCGGCGAGGCAAAGCCGCCCTCCTCCCCGCCCTCCGCCCGGAGACAAGAGGGGGAGGAGGAGGAGGAGGAGGAGGAGGAGGAGGAGGAGGAGGAGGAGGAGGAGGAGGACGAGGAGGAGCAGGAGGGGGAGGAGGAGGAGGAGGAGGAGAAGGAGGAGGAGGAGGAAGAAGAGGACGAGGAGGAGGCGGAGGAGGCGGAGGAGTCATCTTGCTTCTGCTGGATTCGGCTGATGAACCACAGCGTGGCGAGAAATCACCCCAGATACTGCGGTCATCAACTGCACACTGCCCACAGGAGGAAGGGGAGGAGTAGGGAGAGGGGGGGGAAAGGGGAGGGGGAGGAGGAAAAGGACCGGTGTAAGCCCAAACGCATCACTGATGTTGCAATACGCCGTCCCGCCAAATTCCTGCTTGATGGGTCCCTAAGAAAGATTTTCTTCATTGCGGGAAATGACCGTCTGAGAACCCTCTATCGTACCAAGACACCGTTCCTGGGATTCCCACTCCGTCAATCAATTTGAGCACTACGTCCTGACAACCCGAAATCGTGCCAAAACACCACTCATGGAGCCTCAACACTGCGAACCATCCTGATTCTTCCAAGAAGACATTTCGAAACCATGCCAAAACACCATTCCTGGGACTTCAACTTCGCGAATCCTCGACACGATCCAAAGTATTCTGTAAAAATGTACACAGCACGAAGGCGAAAGCCACATGTTGAAAAGAACCCGCCTAGCATCGCTCAGACTGTCGTAGACTTCAAAATATGTGCGCGGCGCCGAGGCGAGAGCCACATGTTGAAAAGAATCTGCCCTCCATCGCTGAACATGTCGTAAAGTGTGACATATGTGCGCGGCGCTGGGGCGAGAGCCACATGTTGGATACCACAAGCCCCTACATGTGAAACTGCTGCAAGCTTTTAACAAGAATGTGCGCGGCGCGAAAGCTATCTATATACGTAAAGAAACACATGAAGAAACCAAAAAAATACTCAGTCCTTGAAACTGGCGCAGGTGCTTGGGACGAATGCGCGCGGCGCTAAACCGAAAGCCGCATCTTCAAAAACCACCCGCAATCCATCCCTGAACCTGCTGCAAACTTCTAGCTTCGGGGTCAGGAATGGTGAAGGCGTCTAGGGCGAAACCCCAGGCCCGCCGCACCAACACGTCTGGGGGTGCAACAGGGAGGCGCGATTCATTACATGGACACGAGATGGAGGAGAAGGGAGGAAGAGGAGGAGAGGGAGGAGAGGAGATGAGGAGGAGAAGGGGAAGGAAGAGTCAGGAGGAGGCACGGGGGGGGCTAGGGAGGAGAAAGAAGAGGTATTCTTTCAACATCACCAACTGCCACCAGCAAGACTGGACTGTGAAACTTAAAACCAAGATTTGAATACATATTTCAAACAGTCTCACTCGAGACACGTGACCCCATCGGGGTCAGCCCGGATCGTGCAGCTGCACTTTGGAAGCCCTTGGGAAATCCGCGTGTTCCACCTGGACTTTCACTAAGGACTCTGATTTAGGGCAACCTGGGAAAGGTCAAGGAAAGAAAATATACGATCGCCTGCTGGACACTGGCGAACAGCTTGGGTTTTGCGGGAAACGGGCGGCCTCAGCAGCCCGAGCGCAAAACGCCATGGAGGGGAGGGGGAGGAGGAGGAGGAGGAGGAGGAGGAGGAGGAGGAGGAGGAGGAGGAGGAGGAGGAGGAGGAGGAGGAGGAGGAGAAGGAGGAGGGGATAAGGAGGAGGGGGGAGGAGCCAGGGGTCAGGAGGAGTCAGGAGGAGCCTGGAGGAGCCAGGAGGGGGAGGAGTAGGAGGGAGGAGAGGAGAGGAGGAGGAGGAGGAGAGGAGGAGGAAAGGAGGGGGGAGGAGGAGGAGGAGGAGGAGGAGGAGGAGGAGGAGGAGGAGGAGGAGGAGGAGGAGAAGTCAGGAGGAGGAGGAGGAGGAGGATGAAGATGAGGATGAGGAGGAGAAAGGTGGAGCAGCAGCAGCAGCAACAGCAGGAGGAAAAGAGAGAGGCGTATTGTGGCAAGAGCCTGCGTGTTGGCCCATTGTCTTGACGTGTGACCTGGCTGACCCACGTAACAGTATGTTCCCCCTCGGCCTCCAATTCATCCTCGCCCTGGCTCATCCGCCACCGTGACCACTGGCACGTTGCGGCGTGGTTGAATGCGAAACGCTGTTCGGTAGGGCGTTCGGTTGTGAGCAGTCTAACTCAGGGACCCCCTTCCCCTCCACCCACACCTCGCTGCGTGCACCGTCCTGAGGGTCTCCAAAAACTGAAAGGCCTCGAAGACGGCCCAGGACGACCACGAAGGCCGCCAAGGTAGTTCCACACCGCCTCGATCACCCAAGAAGACCCAAAAAGATGCCTACGAGGCCTCGAGAGGTTTCCAACATACCACAAGGATTGCCAAGAGGCCATCCAAGATAATGCCGCAATCATCAAAAGCACTAAAGAATGCCTTGGGTGCTTGAATATGCTGGACGTCATTGGTGTCTCGGCTCGAGATGCTTCTGAGACGGCCCAGGATAGCCCGAAGAGGGCCCCAGAGTGGCCTGAGAGGGCCCCAGGGCAGCTCAAACAGCACCAAAACAGCTCAGGAAGGCCCCCAAGAGGGCCCCGACAAGACCCTCCACTACTCTCCAAACGGCCAACAGGGACCCCAGGAGGCCCAGCAAGACGGCCTCAGAGAGAGGGGGGGGCGCATGACGACCCAGGCAGGCCGTATAAGAGCCCCTCAAGGGATACTTACGAGAAATAGCGGGTGTGACGGCCTTCTGGGCGGCGCTGACGGCGCCGAAACACAGAGCAGAAGGCGGCCGGATAGTTGACACGGACTGCGACGCACGGGCGCCTGTGAACTTGGATAGGTGCGACGGCATTGCCTGATATCCGCGCCACCCTATCTGTTGACTGTGGGATCGCGGACGATGCGATCGCACTCATTCGACATGCAGCGCGCACCAGGCTCCAAGGCACGACACGGCAAGGAGCATGGGGAGTGCTGCGTTCTGCTGATGCCGCCCGCCTCCCTAGGGTTGGTATGCTTTCCTGGCCCAGCGTTCGGCGGCAGCCGAGCAGGACCTGCGGTGTCATGCCCTGAAGCCCGCCGCTGCTCTGAGTAGTGAGGGCAATGGTTGTATGTCCTCAAGGCGCATGTATCCGACCTTGCCCGTGCGTGGGCACGGCCGGGGCAGTCGGCTGGTCCGTGGCCGCGATTATGCTCAGCAGTTCTTGCGAGGATGGGCGTGACGGACGCCAACCACACTGTGTTGGATGCACTGCTTCTGGGTGGGGCCCCTTGTGGTGACGGATGGGATTGCGCCTTGCGGGACGGCAAGATGGTTGAGCACGACCCGTCCGTGCGTCAGGCTGCCTCTTACTGCCGCTGGGGAGGAGAGACCGTCTAGGCCCTGGTACCTCGGTGATCACCATTCGAAATTCCTTTCGTGGGAAGAGCTGTCTTTCGCTGGAGTGGAGGGGGGACCTCTTGGGGGCAATGAGTTCCACGCGGTGACGCCAACCTGACTGCTGGGGCATCCCCCCCGTGGCGTGAAGTCACGCGCACGTATCCTGGTTACGTATGTCTTCTGGAACGAAGTTGCAAGCCCCTGTGCGAGCAAGCGCTGGTGGGGGAGTAGGAGGAGGAAAGGATAAGCAAGTGAGAAAAGCGATTGAAAGAAGAGACGGAATAGGAGGAGGAGGAGGAGGAGGACTCATCATCCTTCCGTCTACTCCTATTCATCATGATCCTCCCTGCCTCCCCTCCCATCCATCACGACTGCACCTCTTCATCCTTCTCACCAGCATCCTCCTCGCATGTCCTCCTCCCTCGTGAGGCTCCACCCTCGTCCTCCTCCTCCTCCGCCTCTTACTCATCCCTCCGCTCCCTCTCCTTCGACTCCCCTCCACCTCTCCACTCCTCGTCCTCCTTATCTTCTTATTGTTCTGATTCCCTCATCCTCCCCCGCTTCTTCCCTCTCTGCCTCCACTCCCCAGTCCTCATGTCCCTGCTGCCTCCTCTTTTTGTGTCCTTCTACTCCTGCTCCGTCCCGACCGTCGCGGCGCAGGCCAACCCAGAGGCAAAGGGGTGGCGACGGCGGGGCGGGGGCGGAGGCGGAGGCGAGGCCGAGGGGCACGACAGGCGGCGGAGGCGGCGGCAGAGGAGGCGGAGGTGGCTGCGGAGGTGGAGGCGGAGGCGACGGAGGCGGCGAGGAGCTCGAGGCAGACGTGGTGGCAGAGGTGGAGGCGGAGGGGGTGAACTCGGGTGAAGAGGCGGTGGCGGAGGGGGTGGAGGCAGAGGAGGCGGAGGCTCGGGAGGCGGAGGCAGGTGCGGAGGAGGCCGACGGAAGTGCGCTTAGATGGGGGGGGAGGGTAAGGAGAAGGGAAGGAGAGGAGGAGAGCGATGTGGAAGGGAGAAGGCGGTGCGGCCAGATACGTGGCCGCACGTGCCGGGCCACGCAGCGCCCACGCGGGGCGTTCACCCCGCCCGGGCTCCGTGAAGCAGCAGGGCTGCCTCGCGCAGCCAGCGTGGCGACCGTGCGGCACCCCTGCGCGCCTGCACCGGTCCTGGACCCGGGTTCGTCGTGAAAGGTATGGGCGCAGGGGTGTGCCAAGCGTGTGCGAATGTTCCGATGGCACACATGGTCTCAGCGTGTGGTGGGTCAGTGGCCAACCGTGATTGCCCCTTTCTGCTTCAACGGCTGGATCGCTCCTCAGATCTTGGCTGCACACACGTACCACTCATGTGCCACTCATGCTCACTGGGCCGCCGACGCGACAAAGTGTGCGCGTGTCTATTCGTTCGCTCGTTCGTTGCCCACCCATTCTCGGGGACACCGCAGCATCGCACCAGCTCAAGCCACGCCTACCACTCCCAGCACGCATGCGCTTGTGCATTGAAAGACCCTCTCTTGCTCGCGAGCCTCTCTCGGGCTGCTGTCCCCGCCTCGGCTCCACACC